TCCTTTCTATTCTATTCTTTCTTATTCTGTTCTTATTCTTATTATTCTATTCTTCCTCTTCCTCTTAGTCTCACTGTTGCTCCTATTCCATTCCTTTCTATTCTATTCTTTCTTATTCTGTTCTTATTCTTATTATTCTATTCTTCCTCTTCCTCTTAGTCTCACTGTTGCTCCTATTCCATTCCTTTCTATTTTATTCTATTTTTTATTCTATTTTTTATTCTCTTCCTATTTCTAGTCCTATCCCATTCCATTCTAATTCTTATTCTAATTCTTATTCTAATTCTTATTCTATTTCTTATTCTATTTCTTATTCTGTTTCTAGTTCTATTTCTTGTTCTATTTCTTGTTCTATTTCTTATTCTATTTCTTGTCCTATTTCTTGTTCTATTTCTCGTTCTATTTCTTGTTCTATTTCTTGTTCTATTTCTTGTTCTATTTCTTATTCTATTTCTTGTTCTAATTCTTGTTCTATTTCTTGTTCTATTTCTTATTTTACTTTTTACTCCCATCCTATTTCTATTCCTATTCCATTCCATTCCATTCTGTTCATTCTATGAGGACCCAGATTGTTGCGGGCAAGAGGTGCTGACTCTGTAAAAGGCTTAGAAGGGGCTATAAAGCACCATGAAGTTGTATGTGTAAGTCCTCTTGCCATTGCTAGTTTAAGCGCTATTGCTATTCTATTCCCCAGAATATTTTACTAATTGGAGATAACTTAAGAGCAGGGAGGGCCTGTTGATCTGTAAGGAAAGGAATTCCCTCTGCTCGGCTTCGGATATCATTGGCTCTTTTTAAATTAAAGCTGTAATAATAGTCTGCGAGGGGATAGAGGATTTCCAGCGAGAACCAAAGTGGGGGAAACAGGAAGACTCTCACCAATGCCAGTCAAAAAGATCCCTGCCTGATTTATAGGGTGCTCTCCGTTCTCCCCGTAATATCCTACGGTGACCTAGTGAGGAAGAAGGAAGAACGACAGGTTAAAACATTCACAGAGAAATTTTCTACGGAGATCCTCAAGTCATCCAGTTCATGGTTGTCTCAAAGGTGCTTTTTTCCCCCCCCAAGAGGCAAGTGTCACGGCGGCGCTAGAGATTCGAACTGCTGAACTGCTGACCTTTCTGATCGACAGGCTCAGTGTGTCTTAGCCCCTGAGCCACCACGTCCTCCATTATAACCTCATTTAAAATAATAATCCAGACACGCTGTGGTTGAGAACGGATCTTACTTTGCTATCGTTGGTCTCCACGCTCGGCTGGGCCATCTGGATCTGCAGGAACGTGGCGGGATCCAGCGGCCATTGCTTAGTGCCATTGGCGGGGGCCAAATCCGACTGATCGTGGCTTATGACTTCGACACTGACATCTTGTGAATGTTTCACACTGAAATTCACCGCTTCGGGCGGAGCAGCCCTGGAAGATGAGAAGAAGAAAAGGACAAACACTTGCTGGGTGGAGATCAGGGAAATCAGTTCCTGCCAGTTCTAACCTCTTCTATATAAGAGGTTCCACAAATCTACAGTGCCATTTAGAACCGGT